TATATATATATATTCATTCTTTATATAATATAAATTTTTTTGGTACATATATTCAGATATAACATTTAAATTTAAAATTCAACAATTATGCGATATCTTCTAGATGCGTATATATTAAAAATTAATATAAGCCTGAATTAGTTTCTGAATATGTCATCTTTAGTTAAAAAGTTTTAAATTTTTTTGAGTCTGGGATACTTTTACTCTCTTTATGCTACAGCCTTTGTAAAAAAATGCATTAATGTGCTTAATAGTTAGTTATAATCAATTAAAAATAATATAAAGATGATTTTAGTTACAAATTTGCGAAAAACATATGTCATTAAACTAAAATGACATATATGTTAGTAAGCTCCTCGGTTGAGCTAATTATCATTACTTTAAAAAACATTAAAATACTAATACTAAAAATGAATTTTAAGAGATTCACGTTTTTACACTTGTTTCACTTTGTAAGTACTCTACTTTTCTTTCTTTTTGCACGACTGTATAATTTTGTAGAAGAGAAACAAAGACGATTTTTAATTTCAAATATGGGGTCAGTATAACAACCTATTTTGATCGAAGTGCAACAACCTGCCGGAACTTTTCATTTTTTATTCAGAAAAATACAAATCGAAAACCAGTATACACATAGATTCAAATAAAACGTATAATTATAATCAAATGTATGCAAAAGAAAACATACAAACGCATAATCAACAAACCTCTACCTTATACGTATATGTATAATAATAGATACAATTTATACAATGAAATATTTATTTTCAACAGTAAAAATCAGGAAAACAAAGCGTCTTCTAAATAATGCAACTATAGCGGCTAAACTATGTGAAATTATAAAGAGTATCATAAGGATCACGTACGAAGATTTGTAAAAATGTGCTGCCATTCGCGTAACAATTAAAAAAACCTAACTACAACAACTTACCCCATGTAATAACTTGCCCCAGTCTCTTCTACAACAGAATTTCTTATAATATATATAATTTGCAAATGTAATAAAATTAAGGATCAACAGTTGTGAATAATATGCTTCAATTACTTTCCACAGAATTTTATTCTCGTTTTTTATTAATTCGATGATATTAATACTACTACTACTGCTACTAATAATAATAATAATTATTATTATTATTATAATAAAGACTGAATTTCGATAATACAATTTCTACAAAATTCATGTAAAGAAGAATAGCAAAACTAATCGTGCGAAAAGCTGTTGAACCATTTCTAATCGATTCTATTGAATTGAGCGAGAGGAATTAAATCGTTTTTAAAAAAGAAGAAAGAAAAAAAGGAAAGAAAACACTATTGCGCGAAATTCTTATAATTTTCGCGATTTAGTTAAATGTACATTCGATCGTTCAATTTACTCTCGTGAACGATAGGTACTATCGTTGCCTATTCACTGAACTAATCCTGAACACAATCTTGAATAACAACGTAAACACAAAACTTTTTATTTAGCGTCAATGACAAACGATACATTAAATGCGCGCCAAAATCGAAAATGGACTAGACAGATAGATTATTATGTACCCGTCCTCGATCGAAGCACGAGTGTTAACTCGTCGAGTTCGCGAGTGTCTACGTACTATGAGAGTTAAATAAATCTACCAAGCGGCATTTGTGTTGGAATAATTTACATACATAAGGTCGCAACGCCAATCGCGAGAGTAAGCCGAAGAGACACGGCTTTGTACATAGTATGCATACACTCTCCATGCACACGCGCATGCACATATACATGCGTACGCACACGCACACACGTACACACATACATAAGTTGAGAGATATTTTACGCGCTCCTTACATCGAGTTACTCGTCAATCGACCCTAATAACTTGCAGTTATCGTTCAATAACACGATACGCCATATTTCACATTCTACGCGCGACCCCGTCGTTATTGAGTCCATCTCATCATCTATCATACTGATGACTGATTATTCTCTGCTCCAAATTGTAAGGATATAGATACATATATCTTTCAACTTGAAATATAAAAATAATATAAGAGACGCACGCGTAACAAGACACGATGCTCATGATACTACTTGTTTGGTTTTCTTAAAAATTAATAATTGTTCTTTGGAATTTTTAGATAGGAATCATCCTACTTTGGCTGTTGCTTACTCACTTTCATTATTCCCTTCTTCGACAGGGTAATCATCGTAGCTGGGTAAAATGCTCCAATGAAATCTATTGTAATCGTTTATGCTCGTCTTCCGTAGGATGGCCTTCATCGTTATTTAAGTCCTGACAGTCTGTGACAAAACTGCGGACACGTGTTAATATCTTGATGATATACATATAAACAGCATTCATTCGATTAATGTTCTTAACAATAACGCGTGCATACATTCAGTGAGTAATTTCCATCATCGAAATCATTTATCTGAAATCGTTATTATATCATGATGAGAGATATAAAAGATTCTTTATGTCCTATATTACATTCGACATTATGAATAGAATTCTTTTCCTCTCTTTCATTTCTAAAGCTTTCACTTTCCTTAAAATTATATATTTAAATTTCTTCCAAATTTTAAATTAATTTTTATGGTTATCATAAAAATATATATATCACTACAAGTTAGTCTGAAGAACATATTGAGAGAAGTATGTTATGACTATCACTTGGAAAAAATCGAAAATAGCCAACTACGATTTGAATAAACATCTAAATAGAAATTTGAGCGTATTTCTATCGAAACATATTGACAGTGTAAAATTTGAAATTATTGCAATGTGTATAGTCACATGCAAAGTAAAAGTACACGCGCACAAAATTAAAAAAAAATATATGTATATATTTCGTGTGTATATACATTTGATTGATCCATTATGCGATGATAAATAGTACTACACTTGCGCAGCGAGTACATACATATTGTAGCTTTACAATGTGTGTATAGAGGAAATTAATACTTAAATATGTGAAAATAAACATATGTTACTTATGAATAAATTTATAAACGGTTTTACTGAAACATTAATTTTATTAATTAAAAATATTCATATATATTTATACATACACAATGAGTTTAATTTAAACTTTATTAGATGCTATTAAATTATGCCACGAATGTAATCTGCACAATTCCGCCCAAGTGCAAAATAAGATGGTCCTGCATACGTTATCATTGAGCTGCCCAGACATTCCTCTCCAGAGTACAATACAGCGTACTGAAATTTATATACACATATTTTATATTCACTTTTATACTCACTCACTCTCTCACACACACACACACACACACGCGCGCGCGCGCGCGCGCACGCACGCACGCACACGCACAAATTAGTCAATCTATGATACAGCCAAACTAATGTGTAAAATTAAGCAATAACTGAAAAATGAATGATGGCATGTTATTACCTAATTTATCGAAATAAAGCTTGGTTAAATGATTATTTTATGATAATTTAATTGTTATTGCGTATATAAAGTATCAAAGTATCATAAAAGCACTTTATATCTTCATTATATAATACATTGTATATTATTAATTACCTGTCCCTTTGTAATTGCTCGTAAAGGTGCATCAAGACGAATAAATAAACGATCATTGGACATCTTGTATACTCTACAAGCAATTAATGGATCTCTGTGTTGAAAGCGAAAGTTACAATTTAATACGCCATTATTCCATCTCAATTTGCACGGCTCCTCACTGATCCAATGTATTTTCCGTGTTATTAAAAAGTCAGTGTATAATGCTGAATGAGTTGTACCACCTACCTATGTACATCAGAAAACAAAAGTATTATTAACAAATTATCTTAATTTATTTTCAACAAAATATTTATTTTCCATCGTGTACCACTGTAATAGTATTTGACTTCTGATCTTTGTTAAACACGTAATAAGGTTTGAGGCAGCCAGCAATTTTACATCTTTGCCCTATTGTCCGTTTGTGAATACCATTGTGTTTACCTATCTGCAGTCCACTGTCCAGATCTATATAGTTACCAGGTTTATCTGCTATGTACTGCAATCGTTATTATTGTCATCTTATTTTATTGGAAGCAATCGGCATTAGGCGAGAAATGTGCATCTTTTACCTCTGAAATAAAATCTTGAAACTCACGTTTTCCAACAAAGCAAATACCAGTGCTTTCCTTCTTTCGTGCTATTTGACACAATCCTGCTTGCATAGCCATCACCTTTACATGATTTTTCAAGTAATTTCCAAGAGGAAACATACAACGTCTCAAAGTTTGTTGCGGTATCTGGCCCAAGAAGAACGTTTGATCTTTATTGCTATCTTGCGCCTGTAACAAGCGTACGTCTACAGAATTATAATAGTAGCATTACATAATGTATTTAAATAATGGATTAATTTTACTTAATATAGGATACTTGCTAGTATTTGCTTCATAATTCTCTAGATATGGTCCGAAGCTTGTTTTAGCGTAATGACCTGTTGCAATTGCATCTGCTTGAAACTTGTCACGTGCGAGATGAAAAAATTTATCAAACTTGATGTTTTTATTGCACAAAATATCTGGATTCGGAGTATATCCATTCTGATACTTTTCTAACAAATCACTGGAAAAATTAGGATAAAAATATTGCTATCCTCACTTGTGTCAAAAAGTTCAAATACTTAAATATTCCTTCAAGTACCTAAAAACTTCGTTCCAATATTCTTTAACAAAGTTGATCTGTATCAAAGAAATTTCTAATTTGTCACAGATCCATCGAGCATCGTCATAATCTTTCTCAACCATGCATTTTTCTGTTTCGTCTCTAACATCCCAGTTTTTCATAAATACTCCAGTAATATTAAAGCCTTAAAAAAAAAAAATATATATATATATATATATATATATATGCATTATATATATATATATATATATACACACATCATGCATACATAAAGATATATATATATATGTGTTAGGGTATGTATACCTTTAACATGTGTATCAACGGAAGAGGTAAAGCTAGAATTTTTCTTTAGTTCCTACCTTTGTTTTTAAGTAGAAGAGCCGTCATGGCGCTATCAACACCGCCAGACATAGCTACGATAACATTTCTAATCATCTTCTCACTATCAATTCGATCAAATTACAATACTTTTTTTCGTAAACTTTTTACAACACATTAATATGGAATACATGAAAGATATAAATTTAAAGAGTTACATGAGCGTGATTCAAATTTAGCCTTTTGATCGCTGATAATTATGAAACATTTTACATTCTTACATATTATATCTCTTATATTCTGAATGATTTATAATTTAAGTCCAAATTAAAATCATAAACTTATCGATATTATATTAAATCCATGGAGGATAAAAACTAAGGAGATCAAACTAGGCTTTGAAAAGTGTAGTTAAAATCAAGTTTCTGAATTGATATCAATGGCGCTCGGTAAGCGGCGTTCGAATAGCAAAACTCCTCTCATATATGCTTACGATATGCATAACCTAAGAATAAAGACGTTATTCTACATCTGACATCATGTTTCGACAATGGCTTAGTTTCCGAGGGTTTAAACTGGATCAGAATATAAGAACCAACCAACTACAGTCGAGCATTCCCCTGTCATTCAACTGTAACAGGGAAATACTCGACTGTAGTTGGTTGGTTCGTACATTCTGATCCGGTTTAAACCCTCGGTGAAAATTAGGCCAATGGCTGCGTTCCGTTTCACATATGATGCGCATAATACATTTATCCTTGTTTAACATTCGGATAACAAGGGGCAGATCATATTCATAATCCGATCTTATTTCAAAATTGTTTTAAGTAATATCTTAAGACGCTAATATGGCTCTCTGATTGGTGACTTCTTAAAAGACGATCTTGAATATAAGATCTGACTATGAATACCAGCCAAGGATAAATAATGCAGCATACGTATCATGCGTAAAAAACGGAACGTAATCAATAACAGGAAGATGTAAATTCACGTAAATTATCATAAAAGAAACAGGAAACAGAGAACAGAGAATAAAAATTTCAACCTATCAGAAATCATGTATTGTGGAATACATAGTTTCTGATTGAAATTCTTATTCTATATTCCCTATTCCTTTTATTGTGCAAAATCCCTAAAACTGTATGAAGAATGGAACATTTTTCATATAAAATTGGTATGACCTATCATAGTGGAAAGAATACAAGGTGAAGTACTCCCGTGGATGCGCAGTAGGAGAGTGAATTTGGGTAACATTTGATTAGCTGTTTCAACATAACCAGCACTATATACGCAGAGACGTATATAGTGCTGGGGAACATTTGATTAGTTATTTTCAGTATTGCTATCCAGTATTACTTGCCAGAGTCTCTATAAGGCCGGAGTCAGATTATGTATTGAAGATAGAGATTAAAGATTAAAGATTGAAATTTTACTAATGAGGAGAAAGAAATTTTGGCTCCTTTTGTTCTGATTGGTCAAACTTCAATTTTTCAATCCTCAATCTTATTCTTCAATGCGTAGTCTGATTTCGGCCTAAGAAAGTCGCGTTAATCTTGTTAAAATTTTCATTGGCTTGAAGTGAAATGGCAGAACCAATCATCGATGCTATTATATTCCCACTTTGAGTATCGTGAACGCGGTAATTTAGATTTTAGAAATTGTAAGAGTAAAATTTACATTAAATTATACAATATTGACAAATAGAATTAATGTTAAAATACAAAATATTTCAGCAACCAATGAAATAATTCATAGAGCATATAAAGATAAATTTAAGGAAAATATAAGGCATGAATATGGGCATACGTGTCATGAAACAAAAGCGACATCTCAATCGAACTAATTTAAATGATCACTTTTGACCACGCTTTTTGACAGCCTCGTCCATATAAATTCGGTCTCCTTAGTCTCTATTCTGATATAATTATAAGCACGAAGTAAAAAAGAGACCAAATTCAAGCGATGGTCAGGCGGTCACAAAAAGTTAGGCTCAATTTCTATAGAGTTCCTCTAATAAAGTCCGATGTCCACGATGCTAAAAATCGGTCCGAGATCTCAGATCGATTTTTAGCATCGGATATCAAGGATTAAGGGAGCGTTTATATTGGCCATAACCGTATGCCGTAATCTGTAAAAATTGACCAATCACCTTTGAGTATTTTCTTCTTATAGTCGAATGAGAGGGGAATACTCGACTGTGATTAATTAATTCTTAGGACTGTCGCACACAAAATTCCATAACAGTATATACATATGTATTATATATAAGGTGTAAACTTAAGCTGCTGAATCAATCAGAATACTGCTTTAGATTACGCAATTTAACGGAAATGGAAATAACAATAAACTTATCCATAACCTCGCAATAAGGTGAATTTCAATTGATTGAAACTCGCCTTATTGCAAGATTACGGAAAAGTTTACTAATCTAATTACGTAATCTAAAACAGTATCCTGATTGGCTCATCGGCTTAAGTTTACATTTTACGTATACTGTTACGGAATTTTGTGTGCGGCAGCCCTTACAGATTGTGGCATACGGTATACGGTTACAACCAATATAAACATTCCCTAAGAGTTAAGCCATCGAGTGATGATTTTTGATTGGTTCCGCCATATTCAACGAAAACGATAGTAAAGTCTGCAGTACACGGCTTGCTTTTCCTGCTGGATTGCTAGATTAGAATCTTACCGCCGTATTGGCTGCGATATTGAGGCATCGTGTGCTCTAGACTTTAATGTAGCTTTTTCCGTCTATATAAAGTAAAAAAAAAAAATAAAAATACCGGCCACTCAACATCCTCCAACCTCATTTATAGCCGCAGTAATTATAGTAACATGTATTAGGTGTTGGAATTAATTCGTAGCGTTTTTTAATGAAAGAATGTTATTTATTTCACATGAGCATTAAAAAATACATTAATGAAAGTACTTCCCATCACTTGTAAGACGCTACGAATTAATTCCAACACCTAATAATTATTATTAAAAAACATTACAGTCTTAGGCTACGTTCCTCTCTGAGGAAAATTTTACTCGAAATATATAGTACATGTAACATATCGCACATAGAGTAAAATCTTCCTCGGAAAGGAAATTTTGGAACGTAGCCCTAATATTATCAGAGAAGCACGACCGACTTAGGGTGCTATTTCATTTTTGCATTTTTGTACGACAATGTGTGTAGGATAGAGAGGTCTTCGAATTTCTCTATTCTATAATCAATCGACAGGCTTAAAAAATTTGTCGTACGACAAATGAAATATCACCCTTATATTAGTAAAAGTATGAAAAAGTATTAAAAAATATTAAAAAGTACTAAAACAAGTATTAAAAATGGCGTCGTTTGCAATACGGACTATAAAATCCACTAATCAGCCATTAAACAACCATTTTTAATACACAGAAATCAATTCATGATTGGCAGCTAAGGCACGTGATTGCATTGACCAATCAGAACACTTAGTATAATACCAGTCTTATAAATCTAGGACTCTATAGTAACCATAAAACGTAAACTTAAGCCGATGAACCAAGGGTATTGCTTTAGATTTACCGGAATAAACTAACGGAAATAGAAATGACAGTAAGCTTATCCATAAAAAATTCAATTGGTTGAAGTTTACGTCTTAGCAAATTGACAAATCATAGTAAATTATTCTTCTCGCATCCGACTGTAATTGGTCAATTTCTTATGATTTAAGGCTTAAAACATTTATTGTATTATAGATCCGAACTTAAGCGGGGAGCACAGACTCTTATATTATGCATAACACATAAAACAAAGAAATCCAATCAAAGTTCTTTATTTCATGAAAAAGAAGGAAACGAAGGATTTTGATTGGTATATTTTCTTACGCCTTACATGTTATGTAAGAGTGTGCTCTTCGCTTTACATTTAAGAATGTCTTAAATATAATTTTAAGATGTCATAAATCAATCCGAGGACTGTATTATTTTAGGCTACGTTCTAAAATATCCTTTTCGAAAGGAAAATTGTATTGGGTCTAAAAAGTATCCGCGGTACTTTGTTACTAGATATATGACTATCAACACACATCTAGTGACAAAAAACCGCGGATACTTTTTAGATGACCCAATACTTAAAGTATATACTACATGTAACATATATTATATCGAATATAGTATATCGAATAAAATTTTATTCGGAGTGATGTTTTGGAATGTAGTCTTAAGACTTATTATTTAAAACAGATTTTAAAATAAGAACGGACTATGAATACCGCCCTATGCGTTTCACAGTTGGTAGCCCTTGAATCTTATAAACAGTACATAGATAGAGAGGACAGAGATTTAGGAAGAGATACTGTCTAACTGCACACACCATGTTATCCTTTCACCATGCTCCAGGACAAAATAGAGAGAGAGAGAGAGAGAGAGATAGAAAGAGAGAGAGAGAATGAACAGTCTCTCGTATCGCTATAAAGTCCAGCTACAAAGTTCTCTAACTTTCGCGTTACGACACGCTACTATTTGAAGAAATTAATCACGTCGGATAATGATTTCGATCGCGATAATTTTCTCTTCATTTTTCACGATTCGCAAGAATAAGCTGTCGCGAGTGTCATACCGTGAACGTGATTTGAGGCTCGCGCGTGAAACTCCAAGACAGCCGAGCAAAGATCATCGGTCAGCCAATCGACGCGCGACTCTTTCCGGGCCGGGCCTGCGGTCAGCAACCAGTCAAACTCATTGAGAGATAAAACGATTGCGACGTACAGTGCACTTCGAATAAGTGCAGTCGTAATTCTCGAACGACGCGTTGCAGCATGTACAACAAAACAATGGCACTTGTAGAAAATTGCAAAGTCACTGACGATCTCTCTACTGCTTTCAACGAACGGCGCGATCTCGGCTATTTTGCGCAGTTCCCATGACCCAGATTACAAGATGGGGGGATTCGTTCGTCTCTTGGAACAGCTTACAGCTGGATGAACCGTTGGCTACAATGGCTACGAGCTACGAGATCGCGCCGCGCGCACATCTCTCTGCATCTTGCTGCGCATTGCTGCGCCCTCCCTACCTATCTACCTACCTACCTACCTACCTATCTACTGCTACCTACCTACCTACCTACGCCTCAACAAAATCGCCGCCAGCGGCGCCGCAACTCAGGGCCGTAATCGCCGTGTATGTAGCACCGAGGTCTTCAACACCCCTCCTATCATATACCGCGATGTCGCGCAACGAGGAAAAATATCGAAATTCGATTCAAATCTGCACTACTAAAAGCGCGCATGTGCTTTACATTCGCATTTTCAGTTTAGATCTGCTTAGCGCAAGACGCGTCAAATTCAAGAGAAAATGATAAAAGTTGAAAAACTCCTGCGAATTTTCGTTTTTTTTTGCCTAACAAAAAATGATAATCGCGCGAAGGATCATTCGTGAAAGAGACGCGCTTTTGCGTTTACATTTGGATCACGCGGATAACTATGCGATGCTAATAAATGTCGCTCGATTATAATACATACATACATGTATATGTAAGAATAATATCGTCGCTGAATTTGCACGCAATCGGTCCCTATCTCCGTTCCTTAATGACCTCAATTCCTCCGTTTTGAGACTCTCCGTATGCGTGCGAGAGAGAAAGTGAGTGAGTGAGTGAGTGAGTGAGTGAGTGAGTGAGTGAGTGAGTGAGTGAGTGAGTAAGTGAGAGAGAGAGAGAGAGAGAGAGAGAGAGAGAGCGAGAGCACGCGACCACGGAAATTGGAGAAGCGATGATCACACAAGCTCGATAGCCATCGATAGCGCGTGAAAGAATTTCTTCGCACTTGGTAGTCTGATCGAAACGTTGCTCGTTGCGGCAAGGATGACACGGATGGTGGACATTGCGATGGTGGTGCGATGTCGTGGGAAACCTGATCATCGGTAGCAGCAATCCCGAGTGCCCGACAGCTCGAGTGGTTGGTAACAGAGACGCCGCTGGTCGCGCCAATACGCTCCTGCGCAGTACATTCCCCACCCCCTCCCCCCCACTCTCATCTCCCGTCCCGCTACGCGACCAGTCGGAGTCGGTTCCTTGTTTGCCATCACAAAATCCAATAGTTTGCCTTGTACCGCTGAAGGAGAGAGGTTGCACGGTTCGACGGTTTCACATACGCGTCTTGCGAAAAAGTGCGGTGAATCCTACGAGTCCAATGTAACGCATGTCTCTTGCTTACGCAAAAGATGTACATTATCCCGCGTTTATTTACCCATACTACAAGATTTCGCCGTTGTTAGAGTGAATTGGCGCGCGCGCATATTCGTGGAAGTGAGAACACTGTAAATTCCTACGAGCAACCGGACCAACCGGCCTGTTAAGGCTTCGTCGATTTTTTGGTCGTGAAAAAACAACGAACCAAGAGAGCCGAAGAGAAAGAGTGAGAGAGAAAGAGAGAGAATAAGAAGATAGGTGTGGAACACAGAAATTGTGTGAGGAAGGAGGAGTCTAGTACATAAGGAGAAACAGAGTGAGAAAATAAGAAAGGAAGAGAGAGAGAGAGAGAGAGAGAGAGCGCGCGCGGGCGCGCGCGCGCGCATGGTGCTGTGTGCGTGGATGCGTACATGTGTGTGAACGGAGCGAACGCGCGAACGCGAACGGAAGAGGAACAGAGAGAGGTGGAGACGGTGAGAAAAGGAGGGAAAGGAAGAGAGAGAGAGAGAGAGAGAAAAAAGGAGAACTCTGCAAATGTAAGGGTCGATTATACGACGCCGTCGAGAGACTCGATCGCGAGGGAAATAGCTGGTGATACATACCGAGGGTGTACGGTGCCTGCTTTGGTGGCGGTGGTGGTGGCGGTGACGGTGACGGTGGCGGTGGCGGTGGCGTTTCGCGGAGGAAGTGACCGCACGCGGCGCGGACGTACGTTACTTGTCGCGGAGTCCGCTCCAAGAATGCGTTATGTATTTACGTAGAATATTGCGTAACGTACAAGGGGCCGGCTAGAGTGTGTTTAGAAACGTGCGTCGTTTTAGAGTTTCACGGCATAGATCGACAAGAAATACCGGCGAA